AAAGGTAAAAACACACAAAAAAATGTTGAGACCCAAATTTTTTTGTCTTTTACCTTTCTTCTGCAGCAAGAAACAGCCGGTATCGTTCCCTGTGACATCATCACCAAGCTTCTAAAATTCTTGCAGGGGCAGGAGCTGGGAGATCATTTCCTATTGACATAGGCATGCCCCCAGAACTACATCTCCAAGAGCCATTTCCCTACACATAGCGTATGGACAGGCTCTGGGAGTCAAGGTATAGCAGCAGTGTTTTACTGGGAAAGAAATCAATGTAAGCATGAAGAATATGACAGAGGGATGAGGACATTGCTAGGGCTGTCATTCAACCAGCGGTTTGACATCGCTGCTGTGGGATTTTATTGCAGCAAAGCAACTATTGCGAGTCTGAAGGGAAGGTTTGGAGCTTACTGGATTTCTGGCCACTCGATAGGTACTTTATAGACCTGCAGCTTTATTTTTGCAGGGGTAAAACACGGGGAAACACACTATTGCAGAGATATACTGCTCATGTCTTTTTTTTTAATTTGCCCAGATATACACACAAAGAGCTACATTTATAAATGTTGTTTACACATAAGATTCACACATAACTTTTATATACAAGACTCATACATTTCTCTAATTGGATTCCATTGGAAAAACATGAATCCTGGGTGAAAATTGTATGAATTGTACATAATACTTGGGATTACACCATTATTAAGCATTAGCTTCTCTAAAGCAAAGATAACACTTCCAGTAAGCCATTACTGTTAAAGTGACACTAAACTCAGGAGTTAAATCTTAAAAATACATTCAAGGACCTTAACTATGAACAACAATGTATCTTATTTGTGTATCACTTGGCGGTAGATCCTCCAATCATCTCTGAATTGGTGCTGACACTGTCCTTCCTTCTGGAGGGGGGCTACTTCTGTTCCCCATGGTCCTCCTGTGTGTTGTAAAGTACTCACCGCTCCAAGCTCATTCCTGTGATGGACTACAACCCCAATACAAATTAGTAAACTAACAATGAGATTGTAGTCAATCACAGGAGCGAGCTTGGCGCGGTGAGTACTTTACAACACACACAGGGACCATGGGGGACAAAAGTAGCCCCCCTCCAGAAGGAAGGACAGTGTCAGCACCAATTCCGAGATGATTGGAGGTTTAACAGCCGAGTGACACACAAATAAGATACATTGTTGGTAATAGTGAAGGTACTTGAATTTATTTTTAAGATTTAACTCCTAAGATTAGTGTCACTTTAAAGTAGGAATGTCCAGATACCAGTGCCGATATATGGCATTTTCACGAGAACTCCCAGGGTTTCAGAGGTTGCAGCTGGGACCTGGCTCTGGCGCTCCACCTCTGTCCTGAAATCATCAGTCTGTATTGTTTTAGAAAAACTGTCACATGACACTAAACAAAAATGTATCAGTACTTGAAAAAATGGCATCGGTGCATCCATAATTAAGAATATATATAACAAATTATACATTAAAGCAGGGATGTATGAATCCCAGGAGCCCGGTGTGCTCCTTACAAATGACAGCTGCCTCCTAGCTTTTTAATTTTTCCCCAGTCTAGTGTTGGAGCTGGAGAAGCATCTGTACTTGTACCGAGTACAGTGCTTGGTATCTGAACAAACATAAATGCATTTATGTTTGTATAGCGGAATACTATTTCAGTCCAGTAGATGGCAATCTCATCCTTCAGCAGAGGATGGAAGCGGAGATCCTGGGGACACGTAGGTAGTAAATTGCCGTGCGATGTATATCACGGATTAGTCAGTAGGAATTTTAGCAGTCAGTAGATGGTGGACTGCAGCACATACAAAGCTGGATGGGTGACAAAAAAAAAAATCCAGACCATCCCAATGACTAGACTGTGCAAGAGAGAAAGACCTGAGGATTTTCTGAAGCCTTGGAATTCTAAAATCAACAAAAGATGGCGCACGCGGAGCAGGCCGGGTCATGTCTGAGGCTTTAGAGGTTTATGCAGTTTTATCATTTGGGAATTAACATTTTCCCTTTATCCGGGGACATGGGGAGCTGCCTATGAAAAGGAAAGCTGGACGGTTACCAACGGCAAACACAACTCGGCTTTCATGGTCTGTTTATAACACTAAATACTCCAATTAGGATTCTAAAACCAAACTGGTAAACTCACAGAACACAGGTTCGGAAAAATAATGCCCCTTTCGGTAAGTGAGCAGTGACTGTTTATTATGCCCCGCACCCTTTAACAGTCACATGTGGAAGAAATGAGCAAGTCATAGAGGGGGGCACTAATATAACAGAACTGTCAATGAGCTTAAAGCTGAAGTTTAATCTGCTTACAGTTTGCCTTTCCTGGCTGCTCCTTTTTTCCTTATCATCATGCATGAAATTACTTATGCATGTTCATAAGTGAAAAGGGAGGAGCCAGGAAAGGCAAACTATAAGCAGACTACACTTCAGCCTATGCATTTTTATTGCATACCTTATTTTGGATCCAGTGTTATCATCACTGGGTCTCTGTGCTTCTTTATGCAATGTAGGCAGGTCACAGCTGGTAGGAGGGGGCTGGCAGGGTGCTGTACAAAGCTTTGTGAAACCATCACAGCAACCCCACCTTAGTCCTCCTCTCGAAAAGCCCTCAGCTCTGATGCAAGCAGTGGGCTGGCTTTTGGGAGGAGTTATGCAAATATCAAAATGCCTTTATGGGTGGATGTCACTCTGGAGGAGGAGTAGCCATTAGTATGCACACTGCATTTGCATACTGGCCACCCTAGGTAATGCCCACATGCGATGCTGAGCCTCTGATTGGAAGAACTGAAATCCAATGAAAGGGGCGGGGCCATGGGGCAGTAAAACTGGGGAGGAAAGCTAGATGATGCTGGTCGTCCTCCAGCTAGGAAATGAGGCGGGCTCTGTCTGGGCAGCTTCTAATGCACATTATGAGAAGTTCACAGTGTGCAGTGAAATCAGAGAAAGCAATTCCAGTCCAGGAGAGGAGCCGTTACTAATGTGCAAGACTTAAGGGAAGGCCGGAGGTCAGATATAAGACTGAAAGGGAGGACGGAGGTCAGCTTTAATTAATATAGTGGTGTCATGAATGATTGGACTATTAAAGAGTAGCAGCACATACAAGAAGCAATCTCTGAGCATTCCCTTCCTGTAATCATACAGTGTTAGACTGACAGCTAGGGTTGTCACCTTTTGTTCAAGCGAAACCCGAACACTCTAGCGACGCACGGCCATTTCTTTCTTTGGAGAATGAGTCGTGGCTTATTCAGATGTAAATAGCGCCGCCCATTCATATGTAAATATCACAGCTGAGACTATTTTCAGTGGGGAGCCAGTAGTCCCTATCTTAATTTTGGTTGCCCGTCTCCCTGACATCTTGTGTCCGGGTTTCTGCTGCCATGAAACCCGGACACAGCATTCAAAACCCAGACTGTCCGGGTGAATCCTGTACAGGTGGCAACCCTACTGACAGCACCGTGCCATGCAATAAAAGCTCAGGAGTGCCAACCTTCTCTCTTCCAGTCTGAGCCCTGCTCTGATGGAGATGACAGGAAACCAGTAGACAGATGTTTATATGACGACATGTTTAATACATTTAAAGGGTTAAGTGGACGCAGAATTTTTTACTACTTTCTACTTGTATGCAGCTGAACGCAGTGCAAGATCACTGAGCGCTATGCAGTGGCGTGCATGGGCCCATAATATACAACATTGCTGCGTTCAGATCCATAAAACAGCTACGCGCTGTACGGACATGAACCCAGCATTCTTTATACACCTGTCTGTATGGGATCCTAAAGTGTACCTGTCATCTGTACAGAGCAGGTAGCATTCTTGTGGCTTAGTCCACAGAGAATCAGAGAAAAAACAGTCACCTCCTTAGTACACTAGACTAGATGAGTAATATTTATTGTGGCAGGTCTCAAAGTGGAACTCACTTTTTGGCAGGCAGCTTGGGGGCAGGAAGAACCCCCATTGGGTTTTTACTGTTTGACCTGAACAGGAGACGAGGACAAATCTTCCCAATGGGGACATTGGTTTAATGGCAACTGTCAAATGTGGAACTTCCCAACACTATGCAGAGATTTCCTTTTACTAGCCGTTGTATCTCTATGACAGGAGGTAGAGCCTTACAGCAGTTGTAAAGTCTCCTCATATCCTCTCCTGTTATAACATCAGCATTGTAATAGGAATACACACTGGAGCCGTTTCTGATAATACAATCAAAGCTTACATGAAAAAATCCCTTTTAATGTAGTGAGTGCAGCCTTCCATCTGCCCATCACTTCCAACAACTTCCTGGATTCCCAGTGTGCTTTGCGTCTCTTTCCCTGCTGCTTGATGTGATATAATCTCCATTTCTCAATACTACATATCCCATCATGCATTGCTTCCAGCAAGCAATGATGATGTTACATTGTTCAGACGTTGAGTTGTAGTTCAGAAGGCGGGCTCTGTGAGAGTGGTGACACCAGAAGTGCACATTCACAGGGCTGATGGAAATGGTGTCACTGCATTGAGGAAGTCCATCCTATGGTGCACTTTTAGTTTACAATCTACTAGATGGATCTGGATATTAGGAGCATTTCTCAATACTACATTAGGACCATTTCTCAATACTACATATCCCATCATGCATTGCTTCCAGCAAGCAATGATAATGTTACCAGGGACACAGACCATCCATAACTCCAGCATGAACAAGCGACCATTGCCACAACCCCAGACAACACTGTCATTGCCGTTACTTACGTCACCTAAAATTGGTGGAAAAAAAATTCCAGCACAAGGGGCGAAGGGGGTTCTTCACAGTAAGATCAGTTAGGGTCTGGAACTCACTGCCACAGGCGGTGATTTCAGCAAATAATGTGGAATTGTTCAAGAAACTTTTGGACGATTTCTTAAGGGACCGTAATATACAGGGGTACAGGTACTCCTAGAATGAGATCCTAATAGGTTGGACTTGATGGACTAATGTCTTTATTCAACCTCAAATACTATGTAACTTACTTGATCGTTCACCATGGCTGTATTTAGACTTGGCCTGGATTTTTTCGCAAAGTGGGTGACCAGAGGAGCTAGAGAGGAACGCTGTGAAGGAGCGAGAGAGAGAGAGAAAAAGAATAAAATGATATTGGGGTATAACCATAACATCTCTAAAAAGAAATATACAGAGTGCACCACAAAACACAAAGTACCCAGATGATCTTCATTATACACTAATTAGAGTGAGGGCTTTCTGACTCCTTTAGTCCCTTCTCACAATAACCTGGATGGGTATACTGCCTTGTTGGGTCCCAAGCCCTACTCAATAGAAGCCATGGTTTCCATGCAGTGCACTGATAATGATCAAAAGTTAAACTCTCTTGTTGGGTCCCGAGCCAAACTCCATGGAAGTCATAGTTTCCATACACTGCTATGATGGTGGCCAAAAAGTGTGAAACTCTTTTGTTCGGTTTCAAGTCCTACTCAATGGAAGCCATGGTTTCCACTCACTGCATTGATGATAGCCAAACAGTCTGAAACTCGTTTGTTGGGTCCCAAGCCGGATGATAAGTCTGAAGTTCTCTTGTTGGGTCCCAAGCCCTACTCCATGGAAGTCATGGTTTCTATACACTGCTATGATGGTGGCCAAAAAGTGTGAAACTCTTGTTGGGTCCCAAGCCCTATTTCCATAGAAGCCATGCTTTCCATACATTGCACTGATTATGACCAAAAAGGCCAAAACAGCTGTGTGCAGTTTGTAAAAAATTGCCCTAAAATATTAGACTACATACCATTGGTTCTGGATGTGCATCTGGCCAAAAGGGCATATAGGAATTATTTGCATGGCTCCATCCACCTTACTGAAATAAGGACTCATCCTCTTACTTTTGGGATAGGAGATGGAATGAGACATTTATACCCTCTATTCTAAGAAGACTTTACTGCGCTACTACGTTATAAATTAAGTCTGACATGAAAATTGCAGAAATTGCTCTCAACTAGATTTTATTCAAGAGACATAAGGCTCAATTCACAAAGCTAATAGACCAGGATGAGGATCCTAATTCTCAAAGAAAGTGTTATCCTCTGCAGTGTCCAATAAGATAGGAACATTACAGTCACATGGCTGACAATAGAATGCCTTAGACTCTAAACTCTAGGCAATTGTATGAATATGCATATAGGATTTATATGCCCGTTTGTAATTCTGCAAAGCAAGTTTTGTGATCCTGGCACCCCTGCTTGACGCACGGCCAGAGCCTGGACCTCTACTGCAACAGCAGCGTGGCTTGGTCAGCCAGTCTACTGGTTTTCCAATGAAGGAACAGAACTGAGTTGTTGTAAGCTCTGCTCACTCTGCTCTCTCCTCCTGTAAGCTCATGTGTCCTGCAGAAAACCATATTGGCTCCTAGTACTGTGCCAGTGTGCAGAGATAAAAAAGACAGGGAGGCCAACAGAGACAAATTCAGGATGGAATATTAAATCCTAGACTAGAGTTTAACTCCTAATCCACTGCTGAGCTCAGTGGTTCCTCCAGCCAACCCAGACATCACTATAATGTCAAGTGAGCACGTAGGGACTGGTGAAAAGAACCATTGAGCACAGCATGGAGAAGAGGAGACTGGCATTCCCAGAAGTGTTCATTTCTCATCTTTCATTAAAGGGCATGCCCAGGTATTACCCAAATGTAACCCCAAACCTACTCCCCTTCTAGATCAGATCCACGCATTATTTTTACAGTTTTCATATAGCAAAAAACTGATTTTTAATGCCCTGTAACATGATCACCAGGCATCTACAGTGTCTGACCCTACAGCTACTGGGTGGTCAGATCCTACTGGCATAGACACACCCCCAGAATTACATCTCTCAAGAGCCCTTTCCCTACACACAGTGTATGGGTAGGCTTTGTAGGAGCCAAGGCAGCAGTATTGTTTTGCTAGGTAAAATAAATCAATGTAGGGAACAGAAAGGGGTGGGGGGTAGGTAGCATTCTGCAGTCCAGCAGGCAGGGCTGACAACCACCAATCAGGATTTCAGTCTAGCAAAGGCAACTGTGCTGTCGGTGCAAACAGGAAGTTAGGAGCTCAATGGATTTCGGGCAGATCAACAGGTATTTTTCTGATATAGTAGCTTAGAACAAACACGGGGAAATGTACTTGTCTTGCAAACATGTACTAAATATGATTTTTTTTTCCCCCTGGCCCAGGCATACGCTGTCTGAAGATGAACAAAAAGAGAACTTATATCCACTTCAGATTTAACAATAGGCCCCTCAAACAAGTTACCTAGCAGACCACAAGCCAACGAGTCTAACGTCTTCCGGTTCGATGCAAGACAAGAAAGCTCCGTCCTTTAAGACAACATGATGAATCATTTCAATTAAAGTAGTTGCTGCCACATTATGGATTTTGGATACCTTATTAATAGGCGCACTTTGATATTTATGATTTCCCGGCAATCCTTTTGCCTACCGTGTAGCAGCTCTCCTGTTCCGGCACCTTTGCGGACGCCGCTAGAGCGCGCTGGCACACAGTGGCCGGGCGGCCACGGGGAGCACCTGTTTGATGATTTACGAAAAAATGTATGCCAAACCTGCAGGAGCCCGGTGTCCAAATAATGAACATTTTATCGATGCCGGGCAATTTGCTGACAAATGAAGTCAGAGCGGGCAGCGTCTGGCATTAAATAACCGCTGACCTCTTCTTACCCGGACGTGACAGAGAGGGAGGAGACCTGGAGGACAGAAGCTAATATTTACAGTGTGTAATTGATGGATTTACACATTGTATCTAATGCAGAGATCATGTATCAATTGTGAAATCATATCTAGTGGTGAGGTTACAGTATATAAGGACAGGGCAGGCATCAGAAGGCAGCTGGATAATGCGCACAAATCTACTTATAGCTGATAGCTAACATTTTTCAATTTAAATAAAAGAACAACCCCCCCCTCCCCCCCCCCCAAAAAAAAAAAATTACCCCACACAAGCAGATAAGACAAAAGTATTACAATAACAATAGTACCAACAATTAAAGTTACTGTCTCCTAAAAGCATGCAGATGAGGGATAATTGCAGGCCGCTCTGATACGGGTAGGTACCTCTAGGGTGGAGTCTGCACTTGCCAAAAAGGCCTGCCCCCTTGCATTTCTATTGGCCCTCTCAGATATTGGCCAGTGAGGCAGCCTAAGAATAGAGGAGCCAGGAAGGAGCGAGCAAGCTTTGACTGTCAGAACAGCCTACTAGTATGCGGCCATATTGGCAGCCATGTATAGGCACATCTAGCTGCCCAGGTTTTATTCTTGCAACATGATTTTTTTTGTATGTTCTATAAAAAGTATTTTTGTATTCTGGAGTTGAGTAGAAGTCAAGGTAGCTCAACAGGGATGCAGGTGTTGATCTTATGATCTTGGTTTGGTTCTAGAGACAGAGCCTCTTTAAGCTCCATGGCCTCCTGGAACCAAGTCCTTCCCTACTAACACTTACAAATGCCAGCACATCAACCTGGCATTTGACCAGACTGGGGGACGGGAGGGGGGGCATCACCAGTAAGCAATGCTTCATCAGCAATTCTTTCCAGCATCACTACAGCCAGAAGGAAGTGAGGTGGACTGATGCAGTACAGCAATGCCTGGGTCAAAAAAGGGAAAATTGAACTAATCCACAGGTAAACTGTACTATTTGTTTGCAATTGAATGCTTTATTTTCATTGGACCTTTAAAGGGTTAAACTACCCAAATGTGATTGTTAAGTTATACATGGAGTCTGGTGGACCAATACTTCTTACTTTTCTGGAAGACTGTAGTGCTGAGCTTGAGGTTTTGAGGCTATGGTTCTTGGCTTTGCCCACCTTGGACTCTCACTTCTCCGGATACAACAGGTGAGTCTTACCCCTCTTCAAGAGGGAGAGTGTGGCCCCCTCAAAAAAGCCATCTACCAAAACCTAAAAGCTGGCACTTTAACTCTGTGAGAGCTTGTGAGGGGTGGAGAGGCAATCTTCCCTTAATTACATGAAAAGTGAATTAATATAGGATTAGGATTAGTTATTTCTTAAAAATAATGTATTTCTTGGGAGTTGCATTGTTCATTTTTGGAAAAGAGGAGCTGAAGATATTTTATATTAAGGAGAGATCACGCAAGAATTAAAATATATGTCGGGGCAAAATAAAAAGTATGCAGTATACCTTTGCAATAAATGTATCCATTTCCCTATGTTTTACCCGGCAATTACAAAAAAATACCTGCCACTCCGCTACTATATCCTGCTTTTGTTTGACAACACACAGCAATTTTTTGGAATGAGTGGTGTCAGCCCTGCCCTGGTTTATTTTACTTACTGTAACTACTCAAATCCTCAAACTCTCCATACCAGTGCAACATAGATATGAAGGAGTGCATTTATAAACAATTTGCAGAGCCATTTGTTTCAGCAAAATTCTGTGAACTTTTGTTCTGTGCAAATGAAGGCAAAACACATGGTTTTATTATATTTTCTTTCCAAGTCGAATATCATTTCAGGAAAATACCACATTATGGCCACTAGATGGAGCTGAGGAGCATAGGAAAGATGCATTTCCTATACTCTTTAGCTCCATCTAGTGGCCATAGTGTGGTATTCCCCTCACATGATACCATTAAAAGGAGAACTATGAGGTGAGTGCTTTTCACTTATCCTCATAGTCCTAGCCGATCTGTGACAATGAGACTGTCACAGGTCGGCTCAGTAGATCGGGAAGTGAGCGAACACATACCGGCGTTCACTCCCCTCCCGATCCTGTCACGGCAGAGAGCCGTGACAGTGGAGGGGCTGGATTCCCTCCTCCCCGCTCCAATCCTCCATCGCTGACTGGCGGAATGGACGGGGGAGGGGGCGGGTACAGCTGGCTCTGCCTCTAGATAGGCAGAGCCAGCAGTCACTCACGCAGCTGGGCGGATCCAGACATAATTGTCGGGATCCGTTTCAGCTGCGGCATACAGCTCGCGGTATACTGAGCTTAGGGTGACGGGAGGACACTAGTTTGTGTCCGCACGTTACCCTAAGGAGAACTATGGGGAAAAGCCCTAACCCCATAGTTCTCCTTTAAGAAGATTAATATTTGCCTCCATTCACACAGAACGAGCGTTTATGGAGTTTCGCAGGATAAATAGCGCTGCAAATCATTTATAAATACATCCCAAGAAGTCAGTTGTAGTCAGCAGTCCAAGAAAAAGAGGGCTAATTAGAGTGCCTGAGATAACATGGGAAGTGTGCTGAGGACAAAAGGACAGCTCTGAATTTCTGACATGACCTACTGGTATTTTTTTTTTTTTTACTTACCAAAGAGATAAAATAAAATGCTTCCAATTGTATATTTAGTAGCCCAAAAGGGAGAATCTCATTTTTAGAGCAGGTCCAATAAAGACAGTAGGTGTGGTGGGAAGTATTCAGAAAGATCTAAAAGTCTCTGGTTGGGACTATACAAGTTCCCTTCACAGGCTCATTAAACTGTCTGCCAATTCCTACTTTAAACTGAACAGCTACTGAGCTCTAAACAGAATTTGTCCACCTTTGGGACCATCACACCATGGCCATGTCCATCAGACCATGGCCATGCCCATCAGACCATGCCAATGTCCATCAGACCATGCCAATGTCCATCAGACCATGGCCATGTCCATCAGACCATGGCCATGTCCATCGTGTCTCAGGCTTACCCTTCTCTCCCGTGGCTTTAATTTTACAGGTCTTCCAGCCAGATCGTCCAGATCCTAAAAGAACAGAAACAGGAGTTATATGTATTGTATTAGTACAAGACAGGAAACTTTGTATCCTTCAACGTCAAAGAATTCTAAAAGTCACCAAAGGAGTTAGGTCCAGGAGCCAGGCCTTAGAAATGGTACTCTGGACCAATTCTTACAATGGGCATTGCCAAGCCATATGAAACAGACAGCAAAACAGAGTTGAATCACTTTGCAAGGGGCTGACATATTAATAACTGCAACATATGTAGCAACCGATTCTACTATAATGTTGTATCAGACGACACTGACAGTGTTATAGTTTGTGTGTGGGCGCAATCTAAAAAGCACAACTGTTCCAATAAATTCCCATTTTCCCAAGTTATATCTTCTAGAAGGTGCTGCAAGTACCAACAAAAATACCTGGTGATCCTGCCATGAATCTAGAGAGCTCACAACTTCCTGTAGTGAGGTGACAACACTGCCTTTTGCCGCACTGAAATCCTGAGCAGTGTTGTCAGGTCTGCATGAGTTCACCTCTGCTACACTCTATGCTTTGCTATGCTCTGCTATACCAGCACCCCCCACATAACGCTCAATACTTGCTCCCCTCCCATAACGGCCAACTGCTTTCACCCCCATTCATTGTATTTTAGTACAGCAGAGGAAGCCTTGTCATCCCACTGCAGGAAGTTAGGAGTGGACTGCATTTCTGGCAGTATCATCAGGTGTTATTCAGGCAAAACTTGGAGAATTGAGCATGTATTGAAGAGCTGTGTTGAGGTTTTTTTAGATTTTGCCCACAAGTCCACTTTAACTATTGCATTTATTCAGAGAATTTAAAGTGTATGTGAAGCCAACTTTTTAATTTTACTTTTAGATAGAGTGAGGAAGGGTTAAAATGCCCATCAGGTTACTTCTTGATGTGTGTCCTGCCTGCTGGGTTGATTTTCCTTTACTTCCTGTCCTGGAGGCACAACAGGAAGTAAGAAGAAATCTCTCCAAAAAGGGAACAGGATATCAATCTTTGAGAGTTGTCATAGGAACATGTTGTCACCATTGGAAGATTTTCCTCACCTCTTGCTCTGTTGACAACTCTCAAGTTTTGGATTTCCCCTCACTTTCCTCTGCAACGGTTGTTAGTTTTGGATGGAGCAGGAAAGGGATAGAGTCTAGGGATTAGCTTTGGGTTTGGGTTGACTATGAGTTCAACACGAACTCAAGCTGTTCCCAGTTTGCCAAACGGGAAAACTATATGGCTGTTCACCCGCCCAGCAAACCACTGCCCGTGTCCTGGCAACCGATGACCCCATGCAACCCACACAGCGTCACTGGTTGCTAGGACGCTAGTGGTTGGGCTCCACAGACTTATTGATTGCTAGGATGCAGGTGGGTACACTAACAATGGACACTATGGGACCACCAGCGTTTTAACAACCAATGACACTGTGAACAGCATCATTGTTTGCTAGGATGCAAGTGGGTCCACCATATCAACCTATGAGGCTGTGGGGCTGCCAACATCTTAGTAAACAATGACACTTTAAGGCCTGCACAGCGTAATTGGTTGACTGGTGGCTGAGCCACACAGTGTCATAGGTTGCTAGGATGCAGGGAGGTGCACCATAACCACCAATGACACCGTGGGGCCACCAGCTTTTTAGAAATGTATAATGCTTTGTGGCCCGCACAGCGTCTTTGGTCAACTGGTGGCCGAGCCACACATCCCAATTGATTTCTAGGATACAGGTGGGCGCACCATAACAACCTATGATGTTGTGCAGTCACCAGCATCTTCGCAACCAAAGACGCTGTGCAGTATCATTGGTTGTTTTGGTTGGTGAGCTGCACAGCATCATTTGTTGCTAGTATGTGCACCATAGCAACCTATGACACCGTAGGGTCACTAGCATCTTAGCAACCAATGATGCCTTTTGGCCTGCACAGTATCATTGGTTATTTGGTGCACAGCATCATTTGTTGCTAGTATGGGAACCATAACAACCTATGACGCTGTGGAACTGCCAGTTTCGTAGCAACCAATTATACTGTGTGGCTGGGC